GCACAAGAAATACCATCTGAAATATAAGAGACAGTGGCATTGCCTTTTAATTTCTCCATTCGGCCCCAGCGCCCTGCGCCTCTGCTCCAAGTGGAGCACTGTTCTAGGCACTGGGGATTCAGTGAGGACAAAACATATTCTGCCCCAGCTTCTGGGATTCATTGGAAAAGACAGACAGTACACAACCAATTCCTTCAAAACACTTTCTTAAATATTCCCAATTATGATTGCAAGATATAACAGAGAATTGCATTTATTCTAGGATTTTCTTTCAAGAAGCACAAACTTCTTAGCAATTCATCCTAATCAGAACTGTAGTTTTGGTCACTACAAAGGCATGAAATGTTCCTACAAAACACACACACACACACACATACACACACACACACACACATAGAATATATCCCCAAAAGTAGATAGTTCTGTAACTCACATATTAATCAAATTACATGTTTGGACTATAATTGCAAATGAGTTCTGCGTTGGGTCTGGGTTGATGTTATAAAGTTTTAAATTCTAAGTATAGTCCATAAAAACTCTCCACACAGTGGTTTTCATAGAACAGCATGCTAATCTCCTGGTTGTTATGAGATTTAATTAATGTTTCTAAAGATCCTACTTAGCACCTCCAACAAGATGCTGCACAAAAACTAAGGATTACTGTTAATACAGATCTGGAGTAATTGATCCCTATATTAATGCTGCTAAATAAATACTTTCATAATACTTTCATAATGGCCAAGCTGGGTTTAAAAGTGGTTAAATCTTATTATAGAGCAAATAAACATGGTGCAGGGGACCCAACTATAATGCGGCCACAACGAATAAAACCAGCATCCACTTTAAGAGTTTTCCTTGTTGTTTCAGATTTACATTCTGTATAATTTTACTGTAGGAGGGGAGAAGGAACAAGAGAGTCATACAGAAAACTTATCTGCATTAGCATAGTGCTTTCCGGTTTTACAAAACATTTTCACTTGCACCATCCCATTTGCCCCGTGAATCCATGAAACTGCTGAGGCTACTATAATGGAGTCTACTCTCTTTGGCATAGCACCAAAGAGCTACAGCTTCCTCTCTGTTCTTCACTTCTAACTTTATTTCCTTTAGTGGTCCACTGAGAATACCAGTACAAATATTTCTGTGCCGGTCATAATCAAGTAAGAGTGCTACCAAAGCAACCTGAGTGAGGCTCAGATGGTGAAAAGAGAGGATCTTTGTTGTATATTCTGTCAAAGGAAAAAGCAATCTAAAAGAGCTATGTTTAAATCTATAGCTCTTCTTCTATATGCACTCAAATAATCTTCAATTTCTTTATTGCCAAAATCAGCTGAAAGTGTCCTGAGGGAAATGACATTGTACTATATACACATCTAATGAGGGGCACTTATTTTAAAGGAAAACTCTTAGGCAACAATTATGAAAGCATCGGTCAGTGATTAATTAGCTTGATGACTCAGCTTAACATAAACATGTAAACAGTGTATGTTCCAATTTAGAATAATTTCTAGGTTTACTATGAACAACTAAAAAATATTTTCATCTATGAAATCCTTTTTCTGTCAAGTCTTTGATATAAGAAACCTTAGCAGACCTCCCGGTGAACTTTGGCATTTTGGCTGTGTGGCCCAAAGAACAAACGACCATTACAAAGCCTATTCACGAGGCAACCAGGGACCTTATCACAAGGATGACCGCCCGGCTGATGCTACTCTTCTGTATCATCCTCGCGAGCACATAAAGCACACAAGATCCACGTTACTAAATGATAAGTCATGAGCTCTAGACAGTCTAAACTGTAACTTGAAAGATCACGAATGCAAATAAAAACACCTATCTACTTAAAAGGCTGGATTAACTTGTTTGGTTTCCATTTCCTAAGTCTATCTCTAGCTAAAAACTAAAAATGTCGAAAAAACAGTAAAAATCCATCTATAATTTGAGGATAGTCCATCCAAAGGCAAGGACCATAGTACTGTTCTCAAATTTACAAAACCATTAGCATTTTTAAAAACTAGATCCACTACCTGAATCACAACGGTTAAATCATAAACACTGCGATAATGTGCATGTAATGACTCCGTCTCAAAGTGCACACCGGCGCGATGTCGGTGCTTTGCGCTGAACATGCACGTCTTTCTTTCCACAGCCAAGTAAAAGGTGACAGTTAGAAGGAGGGTTTAACAAGAGGTTTCCAGCCAGGGCTTTGTGAAAAGAGAAACTGTACATTCTATCAAGGTGACTAAAAGTCTACTCAGGCCCTCTGCAGTCAGCATTATTCAGCACTATTCGCTCGATTTCAGGAGCCTGCCAATGCTTTTGGCCCACCTGACCGGGTGTTCTCTCTATTATGCAAGCGATGTGGTCTCCCCAAGGCCAGTGATCGCCGGGCA